GTTGATTTTAGCCAATTGCAGCAAATGTTTCATTGATTACTTAATCATGTAGATTTAATGACGTCAGATTTCAAACCGATATATGCTTTAACCATCGGATCAACATTTATTTTATCATACCATTATTGGCCGATTGGTTTCTATTGGATTAGATTGTTGTATGACTATAAGTCTCACTGCTTGTCTGATTGCCTTTATATCATTTGATCCAAGTATCAAAATCTATATTGAACATATAGCCGATTGTTAGGGGAAATTAGAACCATGCCATAATAATTTTGCAAAATTTGAGATATGCCATCCTGACCCATATGTCATTGACTCATATGGGTCCTACATGTCATTGAGATACCGATGGCATATCTCAAACTTTGCAAAATTATAATGGCATGGTTCCAAATTACCTTACGACATCGGCTAGTATCGTTACATCAGCTTGTTAGCCGATCGACTCTTTGATCATCAATTTATCTCTCTTGTTATTTGCAGGATCATACTGACTAGCACGTCCGCATAAATAATTTAGAACCTGCACCAGAGCTAAGCAGATCTCCCAGGACTTCATTTTTTTTTGTGTCAACAACAGCCAATGAACCCCCATCACAACTACGCAGGCGAATCATCGCGGTTGAAAATACACCTGCAAAATCCATATGCCTCGTAATAGAAAATTATTTTTTTAGTAGTGTCTATAAAGTTGCTCAAATTACTAGCACGGGACGGCTAGCTAGAGTCTAATTTAACTGGTTAGGTTTATTGTGCTGTAATCTGTAATCTTTCTACGTTCTGTTCTTTATTGACAGGTGATATGTGCATCGATATTAAGACATCATGTGCTGATTTCTCCATGGGCCTGTTAATAGAATATCTTTTTTCTAGTAGTGTATATAGAGTTACTCAAATTACTAGCAAGGGGTAGCTAGCTAGAGTAATTTAATTGGTTAATTGGTTAGGTTTATGGTAGTGGAGTCTGTCTACGAGATAATTGAGCTATCGCCACCAATTTATTATAATGAAAAATAATTATATTGTACTATCGCAATGATAATTTTCTGTGGAAAATAACTATATTTTGTTGCACCGATATACAAACATTTTTTATTCAGTATTTTTGTTGCAATAGGAAATGAGCTATCGCCACAAAAAACATTACTATTGCAAAAAAACGTGTTCTATCGCCACAATTTTAATTTATGTGGCAATTTGCATAGTACATGGCACTTTTCACTATTTTTTGTTGCCACGATGAACAAATTCGTTGCAATAAAAAATTTAGCATATCATAATTTAACTTATTCTTTTCATATGGGCACGGATTTAGATAAATTTTGTATGCAATTTAGTCCTCTACAACTTAACTATTTTTATTTGAAATCTTTTAACTACTCAAATTCATGATTCAAATCTCAGATCGGCAGGCTCAAATAGAATGATATGCATTTGTAAACAAAATGTAGAGCGCGCGTGAGGGAGAGATCTTGGGTTCGAATCCTAGCCATAACAACATATCAAAAGAAAATAGTTAGGATAATATATTTTTATTAAAACATTTAATTTGGTACGTAGAACTAATGCCACACATGGAGTGGTGGCAATAGTTATCTATTGCAACGATGTGAAATGTTGCAATATATTTTTTTGCCACATCCATTTTATGGCAATATCAAAATTTGTTACAACTAAATAAAAATCGTTGCAATAACCTATTACAACGCTATTTATAACCACGGCTAGCAACAATTTTAAGATTGTGGCAACATGTAATTATTGCTACAATTTTAGCATTATGCTACGATTTTTTTCGTGGCGATAAATTATTTTTCTAGTAGATCTATGTTCTTTATTGGCAGGTGACGTATTTATATATCAATATTAAGATGTCATGTGTTGATTTCGTTAATCTCAAGATATGCCCATATAGTGTACGCTTGTATATTCTAGTGCCCATATGCATGCTCACTAATTGGTGTGCACGATCCCAAATTCTAAGCCTCCGAGGGCCAAATGGCAAAAGAGGAGAAAAAACAGGAGACATCTTACCGACCGAAAAGTGAAGGGAACTCAACTTGTGGGAAAAAAGAACTACTGGAACGAAGTATACCCGATTTCCCACTTTAGAATTTGTCTTGTGCTAATTTCCAGGGCGTGAATCTTTTAGCATGCATGCATGCGATCGGTGCAAGAAAAGCTTGTTTTGGGTATTAAAGAGATGCTTGTTAATTAATTTGTTCATGCTTCAGCTTAATTAATTTAATTTCTTGCATGCTATAGCTTTATATATCCGGTTTTGATTCTATTTCTACACGTTCGATCGCTTTCTTGCGTATTGAGCGTGCTAAATAAAGATGCACTATGTATGCACTAGCCATGATCTTTTTCAAAAAGACGACGTCCAAGTTGAAAGGAAAATCTAGTAGTACTAGTAAAGCTGAAGGCATCAAAGCCTCAATTGTCACGTTCACATCGTACATAATATATTGCACCGTCGTGCAGGAAAATAAGCACATTATTATATCAACTTTTTCTAGAAGCTTTTTTCGATCGTCGGCTCATCCCTTGTGCTTTAAGTCCAGCTAGCTAGGTGAAAAGTGTACGTTTAGCTAGCCAGTATCTTCTTAATGATAATATGATAGATTCATTCGTACTGTTCTTCATGAATAGCTCGTAGCTAGTCTACACCGAAAAGTTAGGAGCTGCTGAAAAAAAACAAATTTTTGTGTTCCATTTGGATATGTATACAATGGTCAAATAAGACGATAGAAAAAAGATCACTGAGAATTTTATTTTTTCCGACAGACTAATTCCCAAAATAAATTCTTATGGCTATTAATTTCATGGTGGTACACAAAATATCCATGGATCCAATAAATAGCACGTACACTTCACTCTTTCACAAACTATACATAGAGAAATTATGTATTTGTACTTCACTGTTGGGTTGGATACAGTGACGCGATGATGCCGTATATACGCGCGTATGCAGTGTAACAAGTGTCAACACGATAGAAAAGACTATATTAATGCTTAGTATTATACTATAGATATACTTCTCTTTTGTCTCTCTAGGTATTGATTATCTTGTTGCAACAAGGAATTTGTGCATCTTTATATATACTACTCCCTCCATCTACTTTTGATAGATATATTTTCAAATCTGAAAAATTTATTTTGATAGGCATATTTCAATCCAACAACCTATCATTTTAATTAATGACTTTCTCGGATTTAACACGTGACTCTCCATTCTTCTACACAAGATTGGCTACATGGGCATCGAGAAATGTAAATATTAATGAATCGCGAGTAAGGAATCCTGAGACCCGATAAAAATAGACTCGGTCTCGGACTCTGCCAGTCTGACTGGCCACATGCCGCCGGTCTTACCGGCCCTGTGGAGGAAACCGGCGATTTTCCCAAATCTTGGTAATTTTTCTTAATTTGAACTTATGTGTCAAATTTAGGTGTAAACAACTATTAATCACGTGCTTCACATATTTCAAAGAGCAAATCATTTTAGTATATTCAAGGAAATATTTTAGCAACATAGCCTGTGTTACAAGAATCAGGGATCATGTTGTTGTTAATCTGATTACTGGACGTGTAGACGGTGATTAGTTTTTTTTACTGTCCATAAATCCTGATTTATCTTAAATTTCAATAGCGCCAGGTGGTCAATGTAGCAATCGTGCCAGCTCTAGAATATAAGAGCACCCGCAATGGTAAAGTAAGGTGCTATCTATAAAACATGTACATCTCAGCAATAGATTAGATTAATAGTAAACCACTTCAATGGTATGTCTACATGGGTATCTATAGTTCTCTAATCTATTGCCACGTTTTTCTCTATAGACTATCTCCAGGTTAGTAGATAGTTTTGCTCTCTCTTTTTATTTAATCTATTCTAAGTAGGAAAATATTCTGACATGGATCTTTTGTAAAAAGCCTATAAATAACCATTATGGCTGCTCTAAGTGATATCTCGATCGGGGGTAGCTGGGTACCAACTCCAATCCAAGTTAAAGGCCAAAGCTGATGGCCTACGTACGACCCAGCAGCTATATTGCCAATCGCTTCTATATGTCCTGACATGCACATATACCTACAGAAGCTTCTGAATCACGCGTGCATGTAGAATATAATAATTTTCAGTAATTCACTATATCCAGTCTTCAGGTGCCTTGTCGCACTATTAAAAAGTGAATTTTTTTTCAAACTTCCAGGCTCATTTCTATAGGCTGGTCATAAGAAAATCTGCTGGTAATAATGATGAGGATGTCCTATAATTTAAATTAAAACCGCTTGTGAAAAATCTGATCATGCATATATTCGTAGAATAGTTCTTACCAGCTAGCTAGTGATGAGTACTACCACTGCTCTCAAATATTTATCATATATATATTTAGGGCATGTTCACTTTGATGCCAAGCAGAATTTCTTATATAGTTACCAAAATTTGGCAACAAACTAAATATAGCCACTTTTTTGGCAACTTTATCAAAATTTGGTAAGGTTGAAAATGGCATCAAAGTGAACAGGTCCTTAAACTTTGATCGATCACACTCCGGCCTACAATTTTAGTAATGAATTTGTAAATATTTAAAAATATACAGTGTTATATAAATATGTCGCACGTTAAAATATGCATATCCGTACAGCTTTGGTTTATAGACGATATCTGATAATTTAAAGTTTTAATATGATCAAGATTTTAATAGTAGCGCAATCAATATAAATGTTGATGATAAATATTTTCTTTCGAGAAAATGATAATAAGGAGTGTACTATTTGGGAATGGATAGGAACAAAATCAATTACGAGCGCACAAGGAAAATAAAAGAAGTTTTCTCACCAACTGGGGTGTGTGATGGCCCTTCCATCAAATGGGCCCTACCATATTTTTTTTTTCCTTTTCCAACCGTCTTGAACCACTCTCGCTCTCGGTCTGTGTCTCTCTTGCCATATTCGTGTTGTTTTCCTCTATAAATACAGCCACGGTGCGTGCCTCGTCTCCTTGCATCCGCTGCACCCACCACTCAAAAACCTGCAGCTTGCTCCCTAGCTTAGCTAGCAGACGACGACACAGGTGTACCTAGCAAACTAGCTAGCAACTGTACACGCGTAGCTGTCGTCGTCCCTGCAGGGGGCGTGATAACATATATCACAGGGAAATTAAATTAACTAGCTCGAAGAAATTCAGGGAGGAGATCGACTGATCGAGATGCCGACTGACGAGACAGCCGCGGCGGCGCCGGCCACCACCGCGCTCTCCGGCCATGGGTGCACCGTGTGCGTCACCGGCGCCGGCGGGTTCATCGCGTCGTGGCTCGTCAAGCGCCTCCTCGAGAAGGGCTACACCGTGCGTGGCACCGTCCGGAACCCTAGTACGCACTGCAATACATACTCTTCTTGATCGATCTTCTTTAATTGCTGAGTGTATAATTAATTTGATATATATAGCTAGTTTTAGTACTAACTCCATTAATTGCTGACGATATTGGCAGTGGACCCGAAGAACGACCACCTGAGAGCCCTGGACGGCGCCGGCGAGCGCCTCGTCCTCCTCCGCGCCGACCTCCTCGACCCCGACAGCCTCGTCGCCGCCTTCACCGGCTGCGAGGGCGTCTTCCACGCTGCCTCCCCCGTCACCGATGATCCTGTATGTAAACTACATGCATGTACTTCAATGGCAATTAACGGTCTCGATCGAGCAAGCAGTATAATTAACTAGTAACTAACAAATCGGTTTGATCTGATCAAATTCAGGAGAAGATGATAGAGCCGGCGATCAGGGGGACGAGATACGTGATAACGGCGGCGGCCGACACCGGCATCAAGCGAGTGGTGTTCACGTCCTCCATCGGCACTGTCTACATGAACCCCTACAGGGACCCCAACAAGCCCGTCGACGACACCTGCTGGAGTGACCTCGAATACTGCAAGAGGACAGAGGTATGTCGTGTCATGTCATGTGTGTACCTAGTAGCTGGCTTAATTAGCTTTCCTCCGATGCATAGTTAATTAACATGCATGCAAATTAATTAGCTTTTATTTTAAGTGCAGTTATAAATTTCTGTATTCAACTTTTGACCCTCCGTCTTATTTATAAAATTTATAAAGTTGATTTTAGAAAAAAGCAATACATAAAGTACTATTTATATTTTATCATGTAATAAAAATAAAAATACTAATCATATAAAAATTTTAAATAAGACGGACGGTCAAACTTTAAACTCACAAACCCATAACTGAGTTTAAATTAAGACGGAGGGAATATATATATACGCCTTCAATAACAAGCTAATAATTAAAGATCATCAACTTGTTATATACTAAGTAATTAGTTTTCATCTGAAAAGAATAATTAAACGAGACTGGGAAGATTCTAGGTTATATAACTTTACGGCTTCAAATCTTTGAAACTACGACTTATATCAACTTATGTATACTAATATATGATGATTACTGAATTCATGCTCATGGTTTGTCACTGTCTGCTTAATTTCGTCAAAGCTTTTAACGCATGTCAAGTTTTACCAAACGTGGCTAAAAAGAGGTGACGTTGATTTCTCATCTTCCATGGTCATCATCGGTGTTTCGTAGTCAAGTTGACAAAGACCAAGCCATTTCCTTTTGAGGAGCTCTTCTTAACTACCCCAAATACTTTTCCTCCACCTACTACCGCGCAAATATATCCAGAATTGTCATTTACTCCTCTGTAGTTGAGACCAAACAGAGCAGGATTATTTTCATAATTACTCATATTTACGAAAGATAGTTCATCTTACATGAAAATAATCTGCAATCTCTTTTTAATAATAATAATAACGTATATAGGTTCAGCCCTTTTTGAAACGCTTCTAACAACTACAACTTTTCTTACAATCGATCTATAGTTCTCCAATTAATAGTATAAACTTGTGCAGAACTTCTAAGAATAAATAGTTATATATGGAATATAGAAAATTTTATAACTATATATAGGAGTTGCTCTAAAACTAATATCAGATAAATTTATATGGGTTTCAAGTTTGTAACGATTAAAATTTAATTAATTATACGCTAATGATTTTCTTCTTTTTCCGTGCTCTAGCTAGCTTCGTCTTCATTTTCAGTATAATAAGGAACACGACCTTAATAATCAGTTGGAAACATGATCATATAATATATATATATATATATATATATATATATATATATATATATATATATATATATAATACTTCATAATTTTGCAGAACTGGTACTGCTACGCGAAGACGGTGGCGGAGCAGGGTGCGTGGGAGGTGGCGCGGCGGCGTGGGGTGGACCTGGTCGTAGTGAACCCGGTGCTGGTGCTGGGACCGCTGCTGCAGGCGACGGTGAACGCGAGCACGGAGCACGTGATGAAGTACCTGACGGGGTCGGCCAAGACGTACGTGAACGCAGCGCAGGCGTACGTCCACGTCCGCGACGTCGCCGAGGCGCACGTCCGCGTGTACGACTGCGGCGGCGCGCGGGGCCGGTACATCTGCGCCGAGAGCACCCTGCACCGCGGCGACCTCTGCCGCGCCCTCGCCAAGCTTTTCCCGGAGTACCCCGTCCCGAGCAGGTGCAAGGACGAGGCGGCGCCGCCGGTGAAGGGGTACCTCTTCTCCAACCAGCGCCTCCGTGACCTCGGCATGGACTTCGTCCCCGTCCGCCAGTGCCTCTACGAAACCGTGCGAAGCCTCCAGGACAAGGGCTTGCTGCCGGTGCTGCCGCCCACCGCCGACGACCACCACCACCCTTCCTCGTGATCCCCCATCCAGCTCCCCCGGCGCCCGGCCATCGTCACTGCATATTAATTTCTGCTGGCTGCTGATATATACTCTTATTGAGTTCTAATTTTTTCCTTTTTCCGATCGGTTTTTACATATATATTATATCTACATGCACACCGATCGACACACGTATGTATATTTTTATGTGTGTATTGTACGTGTATTATGTATGTGATTTAATGGCCGGGTGCATGCATGCGCGACTCGTGAGCAAAGTGATATAGCGTCAGTGCTGTGTGTGACGTGCACAGTGCATTTAATTAGTACGTAATCTATGTTTGGTGTCACTGTAATATAAGCATATGATATTGCTCCTTGGTAGGAGTGCATATAATTAATCAAATGTCATGCACCTAAGCTGAGTACTTAATTTTGATGTGACCTACGTTTCTTCTTTTGAACCAGCAACTCCCAAACGCATGTCACCTCGCTAGCTACTTACATTACATCAACCAATCGAAAATAAATTAGTCCATCCGATCACAAAACATAGAGCCTATTTTACTTTGTTAGGATAAAACTTACTCTAATTAAAGGTGGCTAGAGGGTGGTGAGGGTGGCTTTATTGGGATGGTCGGAATGGTGAAAGACTAGTGGTAGGCAGTGATGCGACGGTGACAATAGTGCTAGCATCAGTCCCCTGAAGATAGAGAGAGCGTTGGACATGATTGACAACATGGTATATATGAGAAGCCTTGTTGTTAGGAAGGTAGGACCATAGGAGCAGCGAATCTGGTAGTCGGAGAAGCCAGAGAAAAGGGAGGAGAGGTAGGGTAGGAGAATTCCGTCGGACCTGAGCAAAAAGTGGAGGTAAATGTGTAATAATATATATTGTAGAAGGAGGGAGGTGGTAGGAAAGGGATGATCGACGGGCCTCGTTGGTGCGGGCCAAGGGGAGGGACGGAAGGCGCACTTCGGCACTACGTGCTATGGAAACAGATCCTTCACTTTGTGCAGTTTGTAGTTGTGCTTCACAAAGCTAGGGGAGTCTTATCCGCGTGTTACGGGTCAAGATAGGGATCAATTGAGTTGGTAATGGAATGAGCGGATGAGGTTAATATTTTAGCATAAATCTTGAAGTAATCCTACTCGTCCAAAACTTAAGAAAATATATTTTTTATAAAAAAAAACTACTACCTCCGTCCCATTATGTGAAATCATTGTCATGATTAATATTTGTGATGAACAATTGGCTTTACAAATGATTTAATCGATGAATTGGTTTAAAAAGATGTGTGGATGTTGGTGTGAGTGCGTGTGACTAATGTGGGTCAGGTTGTGATATCTGTGCCCAGAAACGGTTGTTTTGTCTGATTGTGTGTAGGTGACTTGAGGTCAGCCTTGGTCAATGGTGAGGACCGGGACTATGCTCAGGGAGGAGCAGAGGTCTACTGTGGTCGGGATACCATGTGAGAAGGTGACTAGAGTTAGGATTCTTGGAGGTCAACTTCGGTCAACGGTGGAGATCGGGACTAAACTCGGGGAGGAGTTGAGGTCCAGACGGTCAAGAATACCGGGTGACGAAGTTGGATACGAGATGGCACACGGTGGATGGATACCGTGTGGGAGTGATCTTCGCAACGGGCTTTACGAGGTGTGCGTGTAAGTGCCAGTGTTCACCAAGGAGATTGGAAGAAATTAGAGAGAAGTATATGGTGCTACAGTGCTTCGAGTTACTGTAGCAGGTCGTGTATGCATATATGTGTGTATGCTGGTCGTAGCATATGCATGTATGTATGGTGATTGATGCATGCATGTTGTGCCATGCATGTGTGATGGCCCGGTGGGCTTCGGTGGCAGCTGGCTGGAGGCCGAGCCGGTCCAGGAGCAGTAGCACGTCGGCCCACGTGCGATAGGCCCAAGAAGGAGCAAGCGCAGGAGATCGAGTCCGATGCGGTTGGCTGCGGCTGTAGTTTGAGAGAATTACAATTTGGGATTGTAATTTGATTTGATAATTAAAGATAGAGTCCTAGTGGAACTAGGAGTTGTACTCCTACTTTGAGTAGGAGGATTTTTAGTATAAATAGAGGGGGAGGGTGTGTCCTCCCGGTATCGGTTTTTGGAGAGCGTAGAGTTGATAGTTTAGTTAGGGTTTCGAGTTTAGTCGAGATTTTTGTAAGGAGTGCTGTTGTTGCACTTTGTAAACACAAAGAGAAGCAATAAAGTTGTCATCTACTTTGAGAGTTCTTCGATTTGTGTTTCATCGGGTTCGGCGGTCTAACCGACGACATACCGGCGGTCTAACCGGCGGCGTGCGAGCGGTCCGACCGGCGGCGACAGGACTACGTCGAGATTTCCATCGATTTGAGGGTAACTTTTATTTCTGCTAAAAGTTTTTGGGTTTTTGGTTTTCCCTACCATTCACCCCCCTCTGGTAGGCTTGGTTGCTTGTGTTCGATCCTACAAGTGGTATCAGAGCCTCGTTTTCTTCTTTGGATTTTTATCGATCTAAAGTTTTTGCCATGGCTACTTCTGTTAGGTTTTCAACTAAGCCTCATGTTTTTGATGGAACGGATTTTTTTTTTTGGTGTAGTAGGATGCAATCTTACATTATGGGTGAGAATTATGATATTTGGAGAAAAGTTTCTCATCCTTATGTGATTCCTAAAGTTATTAATACTGATGCTGCAAAAATTGAGTTTGAACAAAATTGCAAAGCTCGCAATATTCTTTTGAGTGGGATTTCTCGTTCTGATTATGATCGTGTTGTTCATCTTCAAACTGCCCATGAGATTTGGATTGCTTTGAGTAATTTTCATCAGGGAACAAATAACATTAAAGAACTTCATCGTGATCTTTTCAAAAAGGAGTATATTAAATTTAAGATGAAACCTGGAGAAGCTTTGGATGATTATCTTTCTCGGTTAATAAAATTTTGAGTGATCTTAGATCTGTTGATTCTTCTTATGATGCAAATTATCCACAATTTGAGATTTCTCGTCACTTTTTGAATGATCTTGACATGTCTATTTGGGAGATGAAAGTTACATCTATTCAGGAGTTTGTTAACATGTCTACTTTGACTTTGGATTCGCTTTACACAAAATTGAAAACTCATGAGATGAATATTCTTGCTCGTAAAGTCGATTCTAAGTCAAGTGCTTTGGTTTCGTCTTCGACTTCTTTGGACGTTGGTGCTTCTTCGTCGAAGTCTTCTGTTCTTGCTTTATTTAATGCCATGTCTGATGATCAACTCGAACAGTTCGAGGAGGAGGACTTGGTTTTGTTATCTAACAAATTTTCTCGAGCTATGAAAAATGTTAGGAACAGGAAAAGAGGAGAACCGAATTGTTGTTTTGAGTGTGGAGCACTTGATCATCTTCGCTCACATTGTCCTAAGCTTAGGAGAGGCAAGAAGGAAGATGATGGGAGAGTCAAAGAGGATGACGTGAACAAGAAGAAGAACACAAAGGAGAAGAAGAAACATTGCATGCAGTGGTTAATCCAAGAAATCATAAAAGCTTTTGATGAATCGGAAGATGAAGATGAGAGCAAAGGTAAGCAAGTTGTTGATCTAGCTTTTATTGCTCGTAATGCAAGTTCTGATGTTGATGAATCTGATGATGATAATGAAGAAAAGCTTAGTTATGATCAATTAGAATATACTGCTTACAAATTTGGTAAGAAACTTCAAACATGTTCTATTGTTCTTGATGAGAAGGATCATACTATTGAGATTCTTAATGCTGAAATTGCTAGATTAAAATCTTTGATTCCTAATGACGATAATTGTCAATCTTGTGAAGTTTTATTTTCTGAAATTAATGCTTTGCGAGATGTCAATTCTGTTAATTGCAAAAAATTGGAATTTGAGATTAAAAAATCTAAAAAGTTGGAATCTTCTTTTGCTCTTGGATTTGCTTTACATGCTCGTGTTGTTGATGAGTTGATTTTGACCAAGAACGTTTTGAAAAAATACAAAGTTGCTTTTTGTGCAAGTTCTTTGGTCAATGCTTCATGTGCAAATAAGGCAAAACAAAACAATGGTGTTTTGATTTCTCAAGATTGTTCAAAGTGTATTCTGAATGAGATGAAGTTGAAAGATGCTTTAGGGCGTGTTAAACACATGGAAGAAATTATTAAACAAGATGAGGTGTTTATTTGCTCAACTTGTAGAAAACAAAAAGGTCTTTTGGATGTTTGCAAAGATTGTGCTATTCTTACTCAGGAGGTTTCTTATTTGAAAAGTTCTTTGCAAAGATTTTCTGATAGTAAAAAGAACCTCAACATGATTCTTGATCAATCTAAAGTTAGCACACACAATCGTGGTTTAGGTTTTGATTCTTATGCTTATCATGCTAGACATCCTCCTACTGTAGGAGAGGTGAAATTTTGATTGAATCTGAGCCTAAGAACACTGTGTTTAAATCTGCTGGCATCATGTCTTCTTTGAATGCATCTTCTTCGAAATCAAATGTTGTGAATGCAAAACCTTCTGTTGTTGCAAAACCATCAATTTCAAAAACATCTACTTCACAAACTTGTCGTGAGAAGTACACTTGTTCTTTTTGTGGAAAAGATGGACATTTGGTTGGTTTTTGTTTTCGACTTGCCCGCAAACAGAAAAAGGAAACAGAAATTTCTTTTGGAAAACGACGGTGGCAAAAATCAGGTTTTTGTTCGAGGAGCCCGGTTAGACCGCTGGGACAGCAGCGGTCAGACCGGCCTCAGGGCAACTTTGCATATAATTCAAATCATGCTTTTGTGAAGCGACAAGGTAAGTTTTCAGGTAAGTCTGGTTCTGATTTTGTTAGTGCATATGTACCTACTGGTTCTACTGATCGTGTGACTCAGTGTTGGATTCCAAAATTTCTTATTTCTAACCCCAACACGGAGGCCTCGACATCTTCTCGTTCGTAGGTATTTTGGTGGCATACTCCCCATGAGTGTTCAACGTTGAGATGACGATTGCTTTTAAAGGTAACATCAATTTAGTTTTGGATTGACATATTTTTGGTTCTACTCTCTCGATTATTAGCTTTTCATATGCTAGTATTTCAGGTAGTAGTTTTTTTAATACAAGTGGATACATGTCAATTCATGAGAACCTTGGTGATGTCATTGGCAATTGGATGTCTTTTTCAAAATCTTTGATTTCTTCTTGATTTATTTTCGGGTAGAATTGAAGGTTAATTTGAGGGGGAGTTAATGCTTTTTCATGCATTCATGTTTATTTTCATACATTGCTTTTAAATCTGAAAATAAATAAAAATAAGAAAAAGAAGAGATTTGTTTTATACCTCTAGTATATTCTTGTGCATGGTAGCAAAATAATTGAGGTCTATTTGTTTCTATGTTAGCTTGTATGCATTTTAGTCTTTATATGAGGATTAGATATTTCTTTTAAGTGAGATGATGCATGACACTTAA